TAGATGTCCGCCTGTGTAACTGGAGGTTGTGTTGTCTTTAATTTATGAAGCCTGACAATGCTGGAGGGGATAGAGTTGGTTTTCAGGGGTGTATGAAGATGTTAAGCTCTACAAGAACGTACAGTGGTGGTATCAGATGGTAATTCCAAGGTACTAAATGATTAAATATTCACATAGCATATTTACATACTCATCTCACAAATACAAAGGACAAAAAACAAGCCATTATGGCCACAAATTAACAATACTTTCCCATGACTTATTAATGTGTCCCCTCATTTTAGTTAATCATAGCCACAACTTACAGTAACTAAATTAAAATGAGGGAATTAATTAGTACAATGTAGCCACTTATTTAGCTCTTACAAGCTACTTGTTACAAGAATGTACAGTGGTGGTATCATATGGTAATACCATGGTATTTCTGGTTTGTACCATAGTACAAAATGATTAAAATATTGATGTAGCATGGTATTTATATACTACTCCAAGAATACCATGGTACTATACAAAGTCTAAAAAAATATAGAGCCTCATAATGCTATGTGGGTGATAAAAACAAGATATTGTGACCACGAATTAAGAATTTGTTCCCATGATTTATTTATTTGTCTCATTGTTTTAGATATATTCTGGTTCCCCTTCAGGAACTTGAAGTTTCAAGTCTTATGTTCCTCCCTGCCCATGCTATCTCTTGAGTGGGGATACACATGATTTGTGCGTCGTCTGTTTGGGAGAGGAGCATGCACGGTCAGCTCTCAAGGGGGCTGACTGTTATGATTGTGAGCTTCTCCCACACCTTGTGCTCCACTCCCACCTGGCCGTCTTCAATGAAAGCGGCCAGGTTCGCGATCCTGCTGGGTCCGGCCCCGCTGTTGCCGAGGCACAGTGGCAGCTGTTATTTTGGGGATCACAAGTGGATTTAGCAGAGGGATCCAAGATGGGCTCATCCTTATCTCGGTCCTCACCCGCTAGATCCACGGCTCCATCTCAGGGACCAGAGCTATTGGTGGCCACGGAGCGGCACCTGTGGTTGAATCTGTCCAAGCTACAAGACAAGGACAGATTCTTCCTGATGGATGCCCCGCTATCGCCTTCAGACCTCTTCTGCGGCGCAGTAGATACTGTAGTCGAGAGGTTTCAGGATGCGAAGAAGCAGGTGGCGGCATTCCAGTGCGTCCTCCCTCACTGTTCCCAGGTGTTTGGGACTCCTGAGCAGGAGCAGTCCCAGCCGTCCAGCTCCTCATATCACCAGACCCAGAAACAGAGCATCGCGACCCGTACGTAAACAGAAAGCGGATCTGCGGACCATTATTCTGTCGCAGAGGACCTTGGCCAAGCGGTCCTGACGACCAAAGGGCAGCCTACCCTGGGGAGGAGAGGTACACACCTCGTCTACAGGGTCCGATCCTCCTCAGTGCCCTCCGGGTGCTTCACTGATACCCCTGCCACCCACGGTGCTTCAGGGCTCAGTGAGCTCAGACAAGCGAATTTCCCAGCTGCCGTCCGGCGACAGAAAGGCATGGGAAAGCTCGTCTTCTCAAGTGAGGGCGCTAGAGAGGTCAGGTTGTTCGTTCCCACTTCAGGGCACCGAAGTGACTCATCTAGCGAAACCAGAGGCCAGTCTCAAGAGACTGGTTCCCTTAGTAGACTTTCTGACAGCGTGGAAACTTCTGCCAAATGTCTCACAATGGGTCCTGCACACTGTAGAGAGAGGTTACAGAATTCAGTTCGGTTCTCGTCCACCTCGCTTCAACGAGGTCATTCCTACATTAGTGAGCCCAGAGCAGGCTATGGAATTGGAACAGGAAGTAGACACTCTCTTGAGGAAGGAGGCCAGAGAGAGAGGGAGAGAGAGAGTCAGCCGTTACTTCATCCATTACTTTACAGGCTGGCGCACCAGATCCTCCTGTGGGCTCAGGGAAAGCTCCTTTCAATCAGAGCAGTCTACATCCCTGGGCACCTCAATCAGGGAGCAGACATCCTGTCGAGACAGGGGCTGAGGACTGGGGAATGGAGGCTCCACCCAGAGGTGGTAGAGCTCCTATGGAGGGAGTTTGGCCAGGTGGAAGTGGATCTGTTTGCGTTGCAGGAAACGATACACTGTCCACTCTGCTTCTCCCTCACGCATCCAGCTCCACTTGGGCTGGACGCCATGGTGCAGACGTGGCCGAGGCTCCATCTGTACACTTTTCCCCCGATCGCTCTGCTCCCGGGAGTTCTGGAGAGAGTACGCCATCTTCTGTTAGTAGCCCCGTTCTGGGCAGCCCGAGTATGGTTCTCGGATCTTGTGTCCCTCCTCGACGCCGCATTCTGATCAGGAGGGATCTCCTCTCTCAGGTGGGGGGCATCATCCTTCACCCCCGCCCAGAGTTTTGGAAGCTGTGGGCATGACCCCTGAGGGGGGCACAGCTCCTAGCATCCGGTCTCTCAACTGAGGTTGTTGAGACCATACTCCAGTCCAGAGCTCCCGCCACGAGGAAACTGAATGCCTTGAAGTGGAAACTTTTATAGGATAGGAGATCTTCAGGCACTCACTGTATCGTGCCTGGAGTTTGCCCCGGGCATGGTCAGAGCCCCACTCATGCCATACAGGGGACAAAAATAAGCTATCATGTCCATGAATTAAGAATTTGTTCCTTTGACTTGTTAATTTGTTCCCTTGGTTTAGGTACATTGTGGTCACATTGTACACATTTTTTTCCTCTTTTTACTTAAATCATGGCCACAACTTACAGTAACTAAATTAAAATGAAGGAACAAATTAGTACAATGTAGCCATGATTTAACTAAAATGAGGGAATGAATTACTACAACATGAACATTAATTTAGCTCTGACGAGCCGCTTACTCAGCTCTTATGAGAACATTGGTTGTGTCAGACGGTAATAGCATGGTATTTTTGATTAAAATATCCATGTAGTATTGTATATGCTACTCCAAGAATACCATGGTACAATTTCTCAATGTCCCCCTCACTTGACATCTGGGGGAAAATCAAGGCATTGTGTCCACAAATGAAGAATTATTTCCCATGGCTTATTAATTTGTTAATTTGTTTTAGGTACACCGTGCCTTGAATGCATGTGTACCTTGAATGCAATGTAAGAAGCTTTGAATAAAAGAGTCTGCCGAATGCATAAATATTAATGTTAATTTAACACGAGGGAACAAAGTAGTACAACATAGCTATGATTTAACACACAAAAAAAGGACCAATTACTACAATGTGACCATGATTGAACTAAAACAATCAAACAAATTACTACAACATGGCCACAAATGAATAAGTCTTGGAAAATAATTCTTAATTTTTGTCTACAATTTATATTTATTTTCCTGCATCTCATGTGCTGGGCTTCGTACAAAAACACATACTTTTTGTTATCGATACTTTATGTCTGCTGAGTTGTGAGAGTCTATTAATGCTATTAAGCTCGTTTGCATCCAATAGCGATGTGGGCCATTTAAAACAGCATAAGTACTTTCACCCTTGAGTTTGGTGAAGATTTACAGCCAGATGCTGTTGGATTCATGCAGTTTCTTAAGTGCTGTTACACTTAGATTGAAAAGCTGTACTCAGCATTTCTCAGAGCCCAACTCTGGATTAAACTGTTGGCAAAAAGCAAGTCAAGGGCTTGCAGAAATGACGTAAAGGGGAGATAAGACCGGAGCATGAAAGAGCTTAGTTCATATCCTAAACTTTATTGTTTTATGACTGGAAGATAAACACATGCAAAGTGCAGAGTCCAATGGCAGGACCATAAGGGTAGCCAATAGCGCTTTCTTTTAAGAGTTTGCTTCTGTGTGGCAAATGCAGATTCAACTAGGCATCAATTTTGATCCCAAGGTGACATTACTTCATGCCATTAAACAATGTCACTACAAATGGAATAAAAGAGAATGGGTGTCAACAAGTCTTATCTGAATGGAAAAAAGGGTTGTGTATAGAAGCCAGTTGTTTCCAGGTAACCTGAAAAGCTGGAACATACTTAAGTGACAGTCGTCCACCCAGGTTACACCTCTCAAGTTATACAATTCAATGACAGATTTACATGTAAAAGGATATTTCTGCTCTCATGAAAGTGAGAAGCTCATGTTGTTTTGGGGGACTCAGAGACCCCAAGGTTTTATTAAAGGCTCAAATATCATACTTGAAATTGAAGAACCAAGTAGATACCTCAATAACTCACTTCAAACAACCTGCAAGGAAACATATTACTTTTGTTTGGGGTCTCAGAGACCTTAAATATAAAAGATGAATAAATGCATTTGATTTGAATTCAAACTGATCCCATGGCATTGATGATTTTTATTTGATTTTATTTGAGGAAAAACGTAGTGCGTATAGAAATAACATAACCATTGCTAAGTATTTTAAGACAAAGTGTTTGAGTGGGTTTGATGGTGCCATATGTTTGCTTATAGACAACATACTGTACATACATTCAGCTGCTTTGTTTTCAAGATGATAATTCTGACCAGAGAAACATTTCACTTATGTGTAAGATCTTATTGTCCATTATTTCAAATTCCTTGAAGAATGCCATATTTCACCCCCAAACTAAGGTGGGTGGGTGGGTGGGGGGTGTATCATAGGAACATTTTTGTGGTATTTGACATTATTTCATAACATTAAAGCATATTTTACCACTATTTTTATTACTGTAATGCATACATATGCACATTATTTTCTTCACAAGAGTTAATATATTTAAATAACCAAGGCAATAATTCAGCAGAACTTGTTGCTCACAGATCGCTCCATGTTTCTTTTGCATGTCTGGTGCTCTTTCACTTTCACACATGACTAAAAGTCAGCAGTCTCTTTTTAATATAAATAATATCATATCGAGATCACACAAATGTACAGATATATACATCTGCACTGATGCTGCATGAACCGCACAGGGCCTGTGTTATCGATACCGGCGCTTCTGTTGAGGTGTGAGGTTGTCAAGGATACGCGGGCTGACGTGGGTGATGTAGTGCAGAGAGGGGTCGTCAAAGTTGAACGGAGGGTTGAACTGCTCCTGAATGTACTCGGGCAGCAGATGAGGAATACTTGATGGAGAGAGAAAGAGTGAGAGTTAAGATCAAGCATGCAACCATCCAGATACTGTAAATGTCATTGTGTGTGTGTGATCAGGATGAGAAGCTCATGTTGTTTTTGGGGACTCAGAGACCCCAAGGGTTTATTAAAGGCTCAAATATCATACATGAAATTGAAGAACCAAGTAGATAACTCAATAACTCACTTCAAACAACCTGCAAGGAAACATATTACTTTTGTTTGGGGTCTCAGAGACCTTAAATGTTCTTCAGCTTATTAAATTATTCTTCACACTAAGACAACAATGGTTAATTTTTTCAAAGAACTGCTCACGGAAAGGTTCTTTGTGGAACCAAAACGGTTCTTGCTACAAAAACCACCTTTATTTTTATGAGTGTATACTATGTTGAACACATTTCTGAAAAGTCCAAATCTGCATTGTGACACAAAAGAACTATACTATGCATTAACACCCAGAATTCATTCCTAAAGCCAGAATAAGGGTGCTACCTGAAGAAATAGGCTGCAGGGTTTTTAAACAGAAAGAAACAAGATTTCCAGAGAAAAATGAAAGCAAAGAGACGGTAGTAGGTGAGGGGCTGATGGGGAAAAACAACTGAAAGGTTTATGACAACAATTAGTGTAGGAGAGGGTGAGAAGGGAGAGCGATAACGATGATTGAGAGAAGTGCTGTGGTATAAAGAGAGGGAGAAAGGAAAGTGTATGTATGACTGCTGCCCTGCCTTGACCCCCTCTCCCTGTGTGGGACTTCCTCTGCAGTGCAGGGCTGCAAACAACTCTGATGATCTCATCTTGCAGGCGCCACCAACCAACCACACACACACACACACACACACACACACACACACACACACACACACACACACACACACACACACACAACACA